AAAAAAAAATTAACATTAAAAAAAAAAAACAGTGGTGGGGCGCCTGGGTGGCCTAGTCGGTTAGGCATCCGACTTTCGCTTGGGTCATGATCTCGCGGTTCGTGGGTTCGAGCCCCGCGTCGGGCTCTGTGCTGACTGCCAGCTCAGAGCCTGGAGCCTTGTTTGAGAGTCTGTCACTCCCTCTCTCTCTGACCCTCCCCTGCTCATGCTGTCTCTCTTTCTCTCTCCTAGAAATAAATAAAACATTAAAAAAAAAAAAAACAGTGGACGTCCAGGTGGTTCAAGTCTACCAAACTGGCACCTCTCTACACAATCTCCAGATTCGGAGATTTTATCTCACGGAGGCCTTCAGTGATCAGGCATCCCTGCTCAGACTTCAGGACTTGGGAAGACAAGGACATCTTACAGTTCCTGACTCCCCCAATCAGACCAGACCAGATAGCCGCTCAGACCCTGAGCCCTCCTTTTCTCCTCTTGAGATAGTGGCAGACCCCTAAGCTGATTTGTGAGATAATTGCCATTGACCTCTCAGAAGGGACTCTCTGATTAAAATGTTTGGGGGGCACCTGGGTGACTCAGTTGGTTAAGTGTTCAACTTCGACTCAGGTCATGATCTCACAGTTCATGGGTTTGAGCCCCACGTTGGGCTCTGTGCTGACGGCTCAGAGCCTGGAGCCTGCTTCAGATTCTGCGTCCCCCTCTCTCTTTGCCCCTCCCCTGCCTCGGCTCTGTCTCTCAAAAATAAATAGACATTAAAAAAATGTTTGATACACTGCTGAGCTGAGCTCATTCAGCGAGTTGAGGTGACTCAACAAATCAGGCATCGAGAGGGATTCTCTTATGCCCTTTCCCACAGAAGGAACGCGAAGAGATTAGGTGAGAGGTCCTAGCAAAGTCACCCAATTTGTTACCCAAAACTGGGCTCTCTTTTTTGTGGGTTTTGAGCCAAAATACACAACCAAGCCAAAGAATAGGAAAGGAAGGGATTTCTGTGCAAAAGTAAAAGGAGAACACTGAGGACATTTCCCAAAGCAGGGTCTGCAAGAACAACATTGGGAAAGTTTTAAAGTAAGGGCGCATACATATTCATGATGGGAAAACAGCAGAGACTGAGGGCAAAAGTCATCTGAAGGTGACTGAGTCCAGGTCAAAGTCCAAAGGGCTGGCAAAAGTCAGCATCAGTTCTCTGGCTCCAATTGGTCCTGTATCTGAGTGCCCAGAAGGGTTTAGATCCTGCAAAGACAGCTGAAGAATGTGTGTCAGGTTAGTGTTCACTTTAGAATCAACACTGGGAATTTCATCACTGGTTACTATCCTGATGTGATTAGCTTATCTCCTAGCCTGGGTGTGGCTGTTACGGCATTCTTCAAGGGGATGGTGGAAGCCTAAAATGAATTTTTTTTAAAAAGTTTACTTATTGATTTGGGGGGGGGAGAGAGAGAGAGAGGGAGGGAGGGAGAGAGAGAGAGAGAGAGAGAGAGAGAGAGAGAATCCCAAGCAGGCTTGGTGGCTTGGTGCTGTCAGTGCAGAGCTCAACACAGCATAGAGCCCAATTTGGGGCTCGATCTCACAAACCCAGAGATTATGACCTGAGCCAAAATCAAGAGTCAGATGCTAAACCAACTGAGCCACCCAGGTGCCCCTTCTTTTTTTTTTTTTTTGTGAGTAGGTTTCATGCCCAGTGTCAGGCTTGAACTCATGACCCTGGGATCAAGAGTCACGTGCTCTACTGACTGAGTCAGCCAGACACCCCTAAAATGACTTCTTGTGTCAAGAAAGTTATGTCTATCTTTTCCTGGGGACCCCTAACTCTCTGCTTACAGGTAGTGAGGCTGAAAGTTCCAACCCTCTAATCACATTGTTGGTTCCTCTAGCAATCAGCCTCCATCCTTAGGGGCTTTCCAAAAGTTATTCCATTCACATAAACTCAGGCGTGGTTGAAAGGGGCTTATTATGATTAACAAGAGACCCTCAACTTATAGAAACAGTGGATGAAGACAAAATATGTATTTGTTATAAACCCCAATATCACAGTAAGCCATTTTATGCAATTTTAGATGTTTTAGTAGCCACATTTTAAATAGTAAAAAGAAGCAGGTGAACTTAACTTGCGCAATACATTTTATTTAACTCGCTTTATCCAAAATATTACCACTTTAACATATAGTCAATATAAAAACATTAATGAAATTGTTTACATTTTTTAAAGTTTATTTTTTAGTAATCTTTACACCCAACATGGGGCTCAAACTCAAAACCCCGAAATCGAGTCGTATATTCTTCCAATTGAGACAGCCAGGTATATATACATAATTTTTTCTGTACTAAGTCTACAGCACATCTCAATTGGCACTGGGCACCTTTCAGGGGCTCCATAGCCACAGGTGGCTGGTGGCTGCCTTACTGGAGGGAGAGCATAGGCTTCAAGCCTTCTCTGCTGTGGCTAAGGCCACCAGGCAACCTGTTTACTGCTGTGTCCTAGTGCCTGGCACATAATGAGGCCCAGTGATCTGCCATATGTGCGCTGGGATAAGCTCTCCTCTAAGTCTCCAGGGACAGTCCTGAAGGTTAAATAAAATGAATGTATGTTAGGCACCCTGCCTGCTCAGCGACTATTACTGTTCTTACTTCCTCAAAGTCAACCGAAGGGCAGCAGGCCCAAGTTTCCTCTCTTAAGAGCTCTGGTCTAAAATTACAAAACGCAGTGTGGGATTACAGCGCCGGCAAGGGCCTTGGGGTCAGGCTCTGGTGCAACAGACCAAAAAGCGGGAACCTCTAACCCAAGCCCTTGTTTTCTTGGCTTTTCGACAGCTCGAGGCCCCGCCCACCCCGCCCTGACGGGCGCCCGGCGGAACTACAGCCCCCATGATGCAGCTGGCGTCTCTAGGCTGACGTCATTGGCTTGGGACGCCCCGGCGGTAAACGATCCCGCTGAGACGCCTCTCCCGGCGCTCAGCCGGCAGACCCCCTGACCCGTAAGGGGTGATAGGGTCTACCCCCCTGAGCTCGGAGTCAACCGATTGATCAGGGTCAGGGCGGCAAATGTGCGGCGGCTAGTGACGTGAGCGTCCTCCCTCCCCCTCCCGCCTCTCTCCGGGGTGGCGCCGTCTGGTGACGTTGGGGGCATGATGGCTGCCGCGAGGCCGGGAAGGTGAAGGTGAGAGGGCGAGCGCGCCGGAGGGGTGGGGACCCGTCCGACCCAGTCCGGCGAGTGCGGAGCAGCCCGGCGGGGACCCGTGGGACGCTGGGGCCCCCGGAACTCGGTATCCGGGCAGGCGGGCGTCCCCACGCCCCGGCCTCACTGCGGGGCCTTACGCGGCCCTGCGAGGAGGGGGCGGGACGCGGGTGTCTGGACTGGGGGTGGGGTTCCTTGAGGTTCCTCGTCTCCCCCAGCCATCCCACCTCGGCGGCCCCATCCCACCGCAGCCCTTTCTTCGTTTCGTATCCAGTCTTCTATGTGTGCCAGCGTTTACTCCGCACAAGATAAGTGCCCACGTTCACCACCGTAGCGCCCTGCCCTCTCCCACTTTGGGCACTTCCTGCACTCAGGTGCAGTCACCTATTTTCTTGTTTGACTTCTCACCCGAAGGTAAGCTCCTTGAGGGCAGGTACTCTTTTACCCATCCCTAACTCTGGCACTTCGCATGTACACAGAAGGCACACAGAAGGTGCCGAATAATTAACCGTTTGGATGCATGAAGCCAAAACTGCCCGTCCTCTATTGTAATCCTTCATTGCCTTGTTCCTTTAATTTCTCCATGTTCTCTCATTTTCTCCTCCCAGAAAGGCCTCTGATTATCATCACCCTTCCCTCCCCGAAGGGTGGAGTAAGGCAGATCCACGAAGTTAAAAACAAGTGTGCTCTGGAGTCAGAGGGAGGTGGTATCTCAGTTCCTAGTTTGGCCACTTCCTGGCAGTCTAAACCTTTTAAGTACCCCAAGCCTCTGTTTGCCCCATAGAATTAAAATTAAGTGAGATATATTTTTACAGCATCTAGCACACATAGTTTTTCAGTAAGTTCTACTTCTGCTTCTCTTCCTCACCCCTACCTGCCCATCTCTAGTCCCCAGTTCCACGATCCTCAAGACCAATCCTTGTTCTGGTCTGCTACCTCCTCTCCTCTCACCTCTCTGGACGTGGACTTGTCTTTACCAGGGCTCCTGCTGCTCACCAGCACGTGTTTGTGCGTCCCCACACCTGTGCACACGTGTTGTGTTTTTCTCCACGGTACTTCCTCACATACCATCCCAGTACGGGGCAGTGACTAAGCTTCCCTCAGGGATGAGTTTGTTTGGCTTTAAACTTGATTAAACATGTTTTGCACACTTTTTTTCACTGCTTGTTGACACCTCCCTTTTCCTTTCCAATAAGTCGGAGTTGGTGGCGTCAACACCATCAGTGGCCAGGCCAGCCTCAACCTGAGACAGGACAGAGGAGACTTCAGATTCCTTTCGTCTTTTTTGGCCCCCGCCATGCCCATGATGCCCAGCCTGTGAAGGTCTCTCACCATCCAAAAAGTAAGTGGCGGCTGGGGCATGCAGCACCCTGGATCTGTGTTGAAGTTCTAGAAAGGGGTGTGTTCTGCTGGAGGTCCAGTGGTTGGGGCCGTCTTTGCCCAGAGCTGGAGTTTTCCAGTCTGTGTTGAAAAGAACCGTCCTTTCTCCTTCCATGGTGGATTTCACTGGTGGCAGAGAGAGCCAAGTTAAAGGTTGACAGTTCAGAAAGTGGCTGGAATCTTTGGGCTCCCCGAGGAATTGGTCTCCATCTCCCTTGCTCTCTGCTATGCTGGCTCCTCCCTCCCCGTCTCTGCCCAGCAGAGACTGGCTCCTTATCACAGCTCTGGAGTCTGCTCTGCCCCCTTTACCCTGTATACTATTTTGTTTCAATTTCTCAGCCTCTCCTCTGTTGCAGTTGTGCCAGCAGACGATCCGTGGACCTATTTTATTTTCCCTCCTAGGAGGTGCTGTGCCTAAAACTGGGTAAGGAGGTGGTGTGGATTCAGGGACTGTGCTCGGTATCCAGACACGCCATGCAGTGAATTTTGCTACTGCTGTTTTCACATGCAAGACATCTAATACTAATAGCCTGGGTGGAGGCAAAGCTTTTTTTCAGTTTAGAATTGGGTCTGGCTCTGGTCTTAGGTTACTATCTGTTAACACTGTGTCCCTGGCACTTTTTGGGGGTCGGAGAGGGAAACTACCAGGATGAATGAGGCTTTCCCTCCTGTTCCTCAGGATTTTAAAAACCATTACATAGCAGAGCATTTTGTTTAGATATAGTTGTGAAATGCCGCATTAGATAAAATTAAACAAGTGTCTTTATAACCGGCCTTTCCCCCAAAGTCTTTGCTTTGGTCATGTGCTCTGATGGAGGCTGACTGTGGTATATTGTGTTTTAGAAATTTTTTCTACTGCGGCACCCTTTTCACACGGAGCATTGGGTGCACTCCATTTCTGTGGACCGCACTTTGGGAAATGCTGCCACGAACTTTCTGAAACACTGACTTGAAGAGCACTTCGCGGCTGTCACCGCAGCTTGAAGCATGCCACTTAATGTTCAGCTGGTATTAGAGCCACTCTAACCTAGCTATGCCCAGGGGACTGGACCTGCATGCCGGCAGTGAGCCCTGTGGTGAAGTAGGCACTATCAGGGCCTTCCAGAGGAGGGACAGGATCCCAGATGCTTCCTACCACTCGGCAAGGGTAGGAAGCCAGCCAGGCAAAGCCGCAAGACAGTGCCCCTCACCCCTCGCACCCGTTTTGGCTTGTTTGTGTGTGTTCTGTAACTTTGGTCTGTTTGTGCACGTCTGTATGTCTGGTTTTGCTCTTTGAAAGATCAGATCCTGGAGTCAGAAAGGTTTGTTCAACTGTCTTGCTTCCCTGAGCTGCAACCACTAAGAAACTGATGCTTAGCCAAAAGCCGCTTTTTAAGAAAAAAAGTAGATTTGTGTATTCTAGGGAAGGACGGTAAGAAGGCTCTCCCGCAGAGGGGCACTCACTAACTCATCCGTGTCTCTCACGGCTGTAGGAGACGGGGTGATTTACAAACCATGAGGTTGCATGTCCTTTTTGGAGATGTCTGGGAAGGGTTCGTGGAGGGGTGATGCTAGAGTTGGGTCTAGAAGGACAACAGGAGTGTGCCAAACGGGTGAAACAGAAAAGAGGATTCCAGGCTGGAAGCGGCATGTATAACACAGACAGGGAGCCTCACCTTGGGAGTAACTGAGCCAGAGAAATCAGAAATCAGGTTTGGACGGGTTGGGGGTAAGGATCTGTGAGAGCTGGGGTGGGCGGCTGCAGGCTGCGGAATGCTGAGAGCCGCTCAGGCCCTGGACTGGCAACTCCGAGCAGATCTCATAACCTTGAACCGGTGAGTTTTTACTGGAGTGCACGCCTTTGACTCTTACGCTTACCGAACACTAGCATTTTTGGTTTTGTATCTTCTGGGCGGCAAACAATGGCCAGAACTTGAAAGCACATGTTTCTAAGAGCCCCACTGATCCCAGGGAGCTTTCTGCCTGCAAGCAAGTCACTTCTGGGGGTGGGCCCTGCTGCCCCTCAACCCTGAGCAGACCTGTTTACTGGGTTCCCCGTGACGGTGGGGGAGCCATGGATGTGCTGGTGGAGTCGTCTCTGCCCTTCCCTGAAGGCTGGGTGTTGGAGGGGAGAGTTGCCCGATCTTGCTGGTGGAGTTTATTATGGTTGTTACTTTATAACACGTAAAATCACCTTTAAGTTTGTACTCTGTCATCCTGAACCTTCTCCATCTGCGTGGAGATGCTTGGCCTGCATGAAGGAATTCACGCTTGGCCTGCATGAAGGAATTCACGCTTGGCCTGCATGAAGGAATTCAAGCCTCTGAGGTTCAATAATTTGCTCAAGTTTACATGGCCCAGGGAGAGTACGAGTTGAACCCAGCCCTGGTTCCAGAATCTGTCCCCTACAGCTGTATCATGCCCCATGCAGACCCCTTTCTGTCTCCTTTTGATGCTTTTCTCTTTTTGCACTCACCCAACATTCTCCGAGGGTCTTAACCTGCTGGGCCACACGAAGCCTGATTTCAGTGCTGCTTCTGCTCGGGAGGAGTGCTTTCTTCCCGATTGATTCCCCTTCTGAGAGTTCTGTTCCCTCAAAATTCCGTGACACCTTGACCTCCGGGCTAAGAAAAGTGCACAGTTGTAGCGAGGAGGAAGGAAAGAATGGACATACAGTTACTTGTCTCTTCTCTCTCTCTAGGAATCATTAACAAAGTAATTTGTAAGTTTAAGCAAAACATGCGGGTTGGTGTTTTCCCTGTGAGTCTGCCTATCTGCCTGCCCACTCTTTGGGATGATTAGATCCTAAGAGCCAGTTTTCAGTCACTGTGCTTCCTCTGGATGTTCTTCCTGTTCCTCAGGGACCTGTTCAGTACCTCTGGCACGCGTGAGCCGCCTCGTTTCCCCGATGCAGCGAGTGCTGAGTGCTGGCTCCCGTGGAGAGCCGATGGTGCTGTGGTTAGGGTGGCCTGGGAGGGAGGACCAACAAGAATTTGTGGGGTGTTGGAGACGCAGAACTGGGCACACGCAGCTGTGTGGGGTTGGAGGGGCCTTTGTCCCCAGGCATCTAGGATCTGAGGGCTCTGCCGGGGAGAGGCAGCTCTGCGCACGGCGGGAACTCGGGGGCAGTACACTTACGGGACTGGACATTTCCAGCCGAATCTGGATGCCACCTGCTCTGCTCTATCTGCTGCTTTTGACTTTGAGCAAACATTTCTAGAACTTTGGGGCTAAGCGTCACGGCCCCTATTGTGTTATCGTTCTTTGGAAAACATAGGCTATAAAGATCAAGAGCAAGAGAACTACCTACCCCAAAACAGGCTGCTGATAAACAGGTATTAATAGTGTTATCACAGGAGGTGGATTGTAGACTTTCCCTCCTGTGCCCACATTTTCTACAGTTCGCACGCCCACTTGCAGTGAAGGAGACCAATAAGTGTCTTTAAATAAAGAGTAGAAGCAGACCTCTCTCGCTTGAGTACCACCCTTCCGCATCCACCCCCGACCACCACCAAAAATACAAACATAAAACCTGTTCAGAATTAGGGCCATTGTGACCTGGAGAGCAGAGTGGCCAGGGGCAGGTGGCAGGGGTCACTGACTTTGAGCATCACTTTGTTTTCACCACTTTCAGTCTTCAGTACTTTTTCTCAGGTGGGTGATATGTAGCAAAGAAGCGAGGTTTCTGTCACACTTTTCTGCCTGAGCCTGAGAGGAGGGCTTCGTGTGTCCCCTCGTGATCCTGGCCTGGCTCCCTGTGGTGGGGAAGGCTGGTGCTGCCGCTGTTCCACAGGCTAGGACCAGCCAGCGCACGGCCCAAGCCCAGGGCCCTGGCTGTAGCTGTCTGAGCGCCCATGCGTCCTCTGCAGTCCCTGTTTGCTCTTGAGGACACCAGTTCTTACCTTCCCGTCCCGGATCTAGTCCTGGAGGGCCCGTGTTCCTGATGGCCCCCAGAGCTGGTCCCCGGTCCCCCACTGCACCCCGCCACAGCCCCAGCAGAAGGTCCGAGCCGGGACTTCCTGGGTTCACTCACGTTGTCTTCTCTTGCAGCGCGATGTCCCTGCTTTTCTCTCGGTGCAACTCTATTGTCACAGTCAAGAAGGACAAGAGACACATGGCTGAGGTGAATGCTTCCCCACTCAAGCACTTTGTCACTGCCAAGAAGAAGATCAATGGCATTTTTGAGCAACTGGGGGCCTACATCCACGAGAGCGCCACCTTCCTTGAAGGTGAGCCAGGCAGCCTGCTCGGGCGGGCCCACACCTGTCAGTTTCCGTACGTAGGTGGGAGGATGGGGGGCGTGGAGCCTGGCTCCTGGCTCGTCCCCAGATAGGTGTCACCTTCAGCCGTGTTCTGCTTTGGGGATCATGTGGAATTGGGCTCCCGGGAGATCAGGCCAGGAAAATAAGGGACCTGTGACGTAAGAATTCTGTGTATCCTGTACCATCTAATCATGCGGGGAAGGTGAATCTCAGTCCCACGTAGAAGACAAGCAGATGGAGGTTTTGAGATTTGCTCAATACCTGGTAAGTTACATGGCAGGGCTCTGCCCGGTGTCTCTGACTCCTCAGCCCAGGTGTTTTCCTTGGTTCTGGCCGCCATGCGTACCTGCGCGGTGGGGGTATTGGCCGTCCCTGGCCAGGGTGTTCTTTCTCTGATATTTTTAGTCAGCAGGGCTATGGAAAGGAAACTTGCGTCACTGGCACCTTCTCCACTAGTTACTAATTTGAGCCCAGCCTCTAGTCCCTGCTCAGTCAGCAGAGGACGGGTACCCAGCGCTCCACTCGGTGGATTGCCAGCCCAGCCTCTGGTTTTCTGAGGCTCCCTCTCTAGAAGGTGTACGTTAGCTCTGGTATCTGGGTTTGTCCGTCAAGACCGAGTCTTTTCTGCCCTTGGTTTCCTTGTTTGTGAAAGAGGCACTCAAGCGAGACAAAGGTTGTTTTAAATTCTAGTCTGCAAAACCCTCCGTGTTCATGGAAATGGCCCAGGTACACGCTTCACCCTCTGCTTTCCAGCAGCGTGGCTTGGCTTCAGGTTGGTTTACGTGACAAGCTCCTTCTTAAGAAAGGGAATGTTTCCAGCGCTGTGGTGTGAATGTTTGCATTCCCCCCAGGTTCACATGTGGGAATCCTCAGACCCGGTGTGATGGGGTTCAGCGGTGGGGCCTGTGGGAGGTGATTAGGTCATGATGGGGGAGCACTCATGAAGGAGATTGGTGCCCTTCTGAGAGACCCCCAAAGCTCCCTGGCCCCCTTCTGCCATGTGAGGATACAGTAAAAAGCCTGTGACCCAGGAGAGGGCCCTCCCCCAACTGGGCCAGCGCCCCGATCTGAGCCTTCCAGTTCAGAACTGGGCACAGTACACTCCTGGTGTGGATGAGCCGCCTAGTCTGTGCGGTTTCATTGGAGCAGCCTGAGTAAACCAGGACTGGGAACGGACTCTGCTCGGTGCCTGGCGTGGTGCTTGATGCTGGAGGGGGTGGTCCCTATGTGCTTGTTAACGTGAAAATCCAAGTTGTCAAGTTAGAAGACTGGTGGCTAAAGTTACTCTAGTTCATGACCCATTTGTTCGGCAGTAACTCGGGGGCGCCTGGCTCTGCATGCAGATATGGGGCAGGAGCAGGCCACTCCTCCCAGAGCCCGGCTGACCATCTGGGATGCTCTGACTCACTCGCTCTGAGGGTGCCGGGGACAGACACGTGCCTCATGAAGGGGTCTGTGTGCAGGCTTTGGGAACGGCTGCTTGGATTCCTGTTCCTGTGAGGCTAGGTGGCTTCCTGTTGGTGGGCTGCAGGGGAAAGGGCTGGAGTGCTCCGGGTATGCGTTCGGGCCTGCCCTGGCTGGGGGCAGGGATGGGGGCCGCCTGGTCAGCCTTCTTGCTCTTTCTTTTCAATACGGCCACTTGCTTGAGAGCCCGACTCCTTCTAGGCTTGTTCCAGAAACCACGCCCATGTGCCCCTAAGAAGTAGGAGGGGGATGGGTCTGAAACTGGGGTGACCAGGGGACCTGGGAAGCCTTGGCGGTTTGGTCACTTGCGCTCATGGCATGCTGCAGGGGAGACTCACCCGGTGGTCTCTGAATGCCGCCTGTGGTCACGAGTGCCCTCGTCGGCCTGGCTGCCACAGCAGAAACACCACACGCTGGGTAGCTTAGAAACAGCAGGAGCTTACCTGTCATGGTTCTGGAGGCTGGCACGTCCGAAGTCCGTGCTCCAGCAGATCCGGTGTCTAGTGAGGGCCAGCTTCCTGGATTGCTGTCTTCCTGTGTAGCATCCCAGGAAGCACGTAGCAGGGGTGGGCTAGCTCTCTGGGTTTCTGATAATGGCACTAATCCCAGTCCCGTCACGTGGTGGGGCATAAACATTCAGTCCATTGCAGCGAGCGCGTGCTGAGGGGCCAGACGCCCGTGACTCTGGCCAGCGGACACGCTCTCCTGGTGCATGTACTAGATGGGATGCTCGTTTGCTCCCACTGGCCATCTGTTGCCTATCTGCTGATCAAAGCCACCAGGAAAAAGCAGTGCAGTGATCCCAGGACCTACTGGCTTAACACACGTGGTGCTCCTGCTGAGTGTGGGGACCGCGCAGTTAGGCTTTCACGTGGGGGATGAAGCAGGTGAGCTAGCTGGTCACACCATGGGGAGGTGGGTGCTAAGGCGGGAGAAGTACAGGGTGCTTTGGGAGCACAAACAAGGGGATCGGACTCAGGTTGGGGGGAGTTAGGGAAGGCTTCTGGGGCTGTGCAGTCCATGCTAGATGAGGCTAAGTGGGGGTGAGCCAGAACGCCCCAAGGCAGTGCATCTGTGCACCGGCTGGGTGAGCGGGAGGGGTGCACTGAGCCAAGCCCAGGGTAACCGGAGGCAGCATGGTGAGGATGGGGACGTGCCGTGTGGGATGGGGCTGGCGGGAGGCCCTGTTGGAGCACAAGGCAGGGTGGGGCAGGGAGGGCCTCGTGAAGGTGCATGGGGTCCCGTGCTGCCTGTGCCATCTATTGAGTGTGGGGCGGGTAAATGATGAGGGTGGGTGAGACCGTGTTTGGAAGGTGATCAGAGCAGTGCCTGGTGTGTAAGGAGCGCTGTGTTTGGTAAGTAAAACACCTGGACGTGACGGCAGCAAACGTTCTAGTGCTCGAATGGACATTGTTCGTTCATCCTTGCAACAGTCGCAGGAGGTGGGCACTGCCCTTCGTTGTGAGAGACGAGTCTGAGACCGGGCGGGGCTCCCTCGCCTGAGGCCACGCAGCTGGGAAGAGGTGGGGACACTACCTCCTGGCTCTGGAGCCCGGGCGTCTGCGCTGTGGCAGGGAGTCCGGCCTTCAGGGGTGGTGGCCGGGAGCTGCGGCTGTGGACTCGGTCTCCCGCGGACAGAGCGGTGACCCGTGTTCAATCTCCACCTGTAGACACCTACAGGAATGCAGAACTGGACCCCGTTACGACAGAGGAACAGGTTGTGGACGTCAAAGGCTACCTGTCCAAAGTGAGGGGCATCAGCGAGGTGCTGGCCCGGCGGCACATGAAAGTGGCTTTTTTCGGCAGGTGAGTCTGTGACGCCGTCACGCCTTCTTCCTGGCTGGGAGGGAGGGGGGCACATGTGTGGCCGCACAGCCTCTTCCTCCTATTAAATTTTTAATGGTGGCGAAATACACAGCATGAAAGTACTTGGTACGTTCACACTGTTGTGCGGTCACCACCATCCTTCTCTAGAACTTCTTCATCTTCCAAAACTGACACTCTATCCCTGTGAAACACTCGATTTTCTCCACCCTGCCCCCACCCTCCCACCCCAGCCTCTGACAGCCACCACTCTGCTTTCTGTCTCTGTGGATTTGACTCTTCAAGGAACCTCTGGTCAGTGGAATGTACAGCATTTGTCCTTGTGACTGACTCTTCCACTGGGCATCATGTCCTCACGCCTGTCTCTGGTGGTGGCTTCAGGCTGGCCTTCATTTTTTTTTTTTTTTTTAATTTTTTTTAAAAGTTTTTATTTATTTCTAGGAGAGTGAGAGAGACAGCGTGAGCAGGGGAGGGTCAGAGACAGCGTGAGCAGGGGAGGGTCAGAGAGAGAGGGAGTGACAGACTCTGAAACAGGCTCCAGGCTCCGAGCTGGCAGTCAGCACTGAGCCCGACGCGGGGCCCGAACCCACGAACCGCGAGATCATGACCTAAGCGAAAGTCGGACGCTTAACCGACTAAGCCACCCAGGTGCCCCTGGCCTTCCTTTTTAAGGCTGAATACTATGCCACCGTGTGTATACACCTCATCTTGTTTATCCGCTCATCCATAATGGGCACTTAGGTTGTTTTTCCTTCTCGACTGTTGTGAATAATGCCTTGTGAACGTGGGTGTACAAATATCTGTTCGAGACCTTCCAGTTTTTTGGGTACGTGCCCAGAAATAGAATTCCTAGATCATACGGTAGTTTCATTTTTAGTTTTTTGAGGAACCACCGTGTTGTTCTTAGCGACCGCACTGTGTTCCGCCCCAGTGGGAGTGCTCAGGGCTCCAGTCCCTGCGCTCCCTCCAGCTCGTGTTTTCTGTTTCTTCAATAATAGGCGTCCTGATGGGGGCGAGGCGGAACATCATTGTGGTCTTGATTTGCGTTCCTCTGTTAATTAGTGATGTTGAGCATCTTTTTGTGTGCTTGTCGGCCATTTGTGTATCTTCTTTGGAGAAATGTCTGCTCAAGTCCACTGCCCATTTTTCAGATGGGTTGTTTGTGGGTTTTTTGTTGACTTGTTGGAGTTCCGTGTATGTCCTGGATATTAACCGCTTACTGGATACATGATTTGTGGATGTGTGCTCCCACTCTGTAGGTTCCTTTTCACTCTGTTGATTGTGTCCTTTGATCCCCAGAAGTATTTCATTTGGATATAGTCCAGTTAGGTAAATTTATTCATACTTTTGTTGTCTAGACTTTCGGTGTCCTATCCAAGAAATGGCTAAATCCAGTGTCATGAGGCTTTTCCTCTGTTTTCTTCCAAGAGTTGTACAGTTTTAGCCATCAGATCTCCTCGTTACACTCTGAGGTCAAGTAGACGCTACAGGTCTGGAGTGGTTCCTGCACCACTGGGCAGCTCTCCGGTTCTCAGCAGACCCTGCGTGGCCTGCACAGTGAGCCCAGCTCTGACGCTGTCTTCCCAGAGGCAGCATCAGATCCTGCAGGTTAAGACCCAGTCCCCCGAGACGGGCCTCATTGCAGATGCCGTTTGCAAATCTGTGCTTCTGCCCCACTGGCCATAAAATGGAGGTTCCCATGACTCCTTCTCAAGTTTGGTTAATTTGCTGGAGCGGCTCACAGAGCCGGGGAAACAGTGACTTGACTTCCATTTACTGGTTTGGTGTAGAAGATACGGAAGAACCATCCGGTGCAGAGGTGCACAGGGCAAGGGCCAGAAGCACTGCCCTCCAGGCTTATGGACGCCTTCCTCAGCCCTGTAGCTCATCAAACCTCATTGTACAAGACTTTTTATGGAGTTTAATCCACAGCCCCTTCCTCTTTCCTGAAGTAGGCGGGTGGGGCTAAAAGTTCCAACCCTCTAATGATTGCTTGGTCTTTCTGGTGACCAGCCCATGTTGAGAGTATGTAGGGGCCCCAGCCTCAGTCCCTTCATTAGCATAGACAGGTGTCCTCAAAAGGGGCTCCTGTGAGTGACAAAAGACACTCTCATCACTCGGGAAATTCTAAGGGTTTTAGGAGTACCATGCCAGTTACTGGGGACAAAAACCAAATGTATTTCTTATATCACAGTACCTTTAAAAAGATTAGAATATGGGGGCGCCTGGGTGGCTCAGTCGGTTGAGCGCCCGACTTTGGCTCAGGTCATGATCTCACAGTTCGTGGGTTCAAGCCCCACATCGGGCTCTGTGCTGATAGCTAGCTCAGAGCCTGGAGTCTGCTTCGGATTCTGTGTCTCCCTCTCTCTGCTCATGCCGTCTCTATCTCTCTCTCAAAAATAAATAAAATATTAAAAAAAAAAAAGATTTGAATCTGTGGGGCACCTGGGTGGCTCAGTCGGTTAAGCATCTGACTTTTGGTTTCAGCTCAGGTCATGATCTCACAGTTCGTGAGTTCGATCTCCACATGGTCTGTACTGACAGTGCAGAGCCTGCTTGGGATTCTCTCTCTACTTTTTCTCTGCTTCTACCCTGCGAGCTCTCTCTCTCTCAAAATAAATAAATAATTTTTTTAAAAAACATTAGAATCTAATAAAGGGGAAAAAGACATGTGGACAGGTTGGATGCTATACACACAGCAATAATTTGAGGAATGGACACTCTGCCTTGAGTTCTGCCCCTAATGACCTATGACTTTGTTACCAAATCCCAAGTTTGGCTGCCTATCCCTCGAATGACCAATACTCAAGAGATGAGTGTCGAGGGGCACCTGGGTGGCTCATTCGGTTAAGCGTCTGACTCTTGGTTTCGGCTTAGGTCACAATCTCCCTCTTCCAGGGTTTGAGCCCCATGTTGGGCTCTGCACTGTCAATGTGGAGCCTGCTTGGGATTCTCTCCCTTTCTCTCAGCCTCTCTCTCAAAATAAATAAACTTAAAAAGGGAAAAGATAAGTATTGATAGGAAAGGAATATGAGCTTGATTTAGGAGGCTGGCTACAAGGTGGACTCTTGCCCAATAGCCAACTCCTCAGGTTCTGTGTAGCCATGAGGGTTTTAAAGGGACGAGGGTCATTCACCGAGGACCGCCATGAAGGGGTGCAGGGCCTATAACATTTTGGTTCTGTACAGATACGATGGCTCCCGTTGGCAGCTTTCAATGCTCGAGACTTTTGCAAGAGATCGAATTCCTGTTCTGTGACACATGAGGACTTTCTGTTCTCCTTCTAGAGAGGAATGTGAGATTTACAGATAACACAGGGAGGGTTCATAAATCAGTCACCTGCACTTAGGAATCCCTGTTCAAGATCACCATGCTAGTTATGAAGATCAGGGTGGCCCCAGCCTCAGGTGTGGCCCTCCACTCCTCAGGGCGGTCATTTCTCCATGTTCATCTCAGGGATGTGACCCTTGTTTCAGTGGCATGTAGGAGTGTGATAGGTCCTTTCCCAGGCGGTGGTGGTTATCAGCAGGGACTGATGGACAGGGCTTTGTGCGTGAGGAGGAACATGGTGGGAGAAGAGCGACAAAATAGGCCTTTTGTGGAAAGCCAGGGACATCGGGTCATTCAGCCACGGTCACTTAGATTGAGGAAGGCCACCCCGGGGGTGAGTCATTGGTTTCCCACAGAACAGTGGGGGTTCTCCTTCGGAGGTAGATGGGCGGCCTCTGTGGTGGCGCTGAGAGGCTCGTGGTCAGTGGCGGGCTTACTCGAAGGTGGTCAAGGTCTGCGTGCTGCCTCAGCGGGTAGTTTCCTGGTGATGAACCGGGGGCACATCAGGGGCACGGGCCCGAGGCGTTTGTCCGTCCATTTTCATAAACACAGAGTGCCCACCCCGCCTGTCTGCATACTGGTGCTGCCACAGAGACTCTGGGCTCCCAGGCTGACGGCTTCCACGTCGTGGAGGCTGGAAATGCAGGTGAGGATGGAGGCCTGACGGCCGGTTGTCCTCGCAGGACGAGCAATGGGAAGAGCACCGTGATCAATGCCATGCTCTGGGACAAAGTTCTGCCCTCGGGGATCGGCCACACCACCAACTGCTTCCTGCGGGTGGAGGGCACAGACGGTCACGAGGCCTTCCTCCTCACAGAGGGCTCGGAGGAGAAGAGGAGCGTCAAGGTGAGGGGGCGGCGGGGACTGTGCCAGGTGGGGTGTGCTGGCGGGTGGAGTCAGACGTCGGATGTGACTGGAGCATCAGCACCTCTACAGAGAGGGCGGTGCCCCTGCAGTGGGAAGTGGGCAGCCCCGTTGGAGCTGAGCGGTGGAGCTGGTTCGAGAGGCTCCGGGCAGGTCGGAAACCCAGAACGCCAGGAGTCCACAGGCTCCAGTGCCTGTGTGTTGCCAGGCGGCCAGCTGGCTTTTCTCCTCGCTCGGAAGAGTGCGTGCGCCTCGTTTTCTGAGCTGGTGCCACGGGGCGACTCCTGCACTTGCTCTGTGGTTCTGAATCAATAGCCAGTGGCTTGTCCGGTTTTATTTTTCTGAGAGCCGTTGGCATTCTTGTTTGGGGCCAGATGCTGCTGTCGGTTCTTGGAAAGCTTTTCAGTGCAGAATAGCTGCAGCTCTAGGATACCAGCCAAGAAAGAAGCCTTTGCAAGGAGTGAAGAATAGTTCTTTCTCATTGGCAACTCCCGGCTCTTGCCTTTTACGTGGGAAATGAAAGAAGGGGAAGCAGATCAGGCCGCAGCCCTGGGCCACTGTGCCCTGCGTGCCAGGCAGCCCGGGCAGCCTGCTGGCCAGCGTGTCCCCCTCAACTCTGATCTTTCTTGCTTTCTCTCTTTCCCTCCTCCCCCGTCAGACTGTGAACCAGTTGGCTCATGCCCTTCACCAGGACGAGCAGCTCCATGCTGGCAGCCTGGTGAGTGTGATGTGGCCCAACTCCAAGTGCCCGCTTCTGAAGGACGACCTCGTGCTGATGGACAGGTAAGAGGGAAAACATCCCCGCAGGAGGTCCCACCCGGGCGCTCTCCTTTCCTGCATCCTCCAGGCCAGGGTCCCATCGGCGTGTTCGTTGCTCTGCTAAGCGTGCGCGCTGCCTTTCCCACTGGCTCAGCCCGAGCCTCCTGCCTCCTGCATATCCCGGGGTCTGGCTGCTGTAGCCATTGGCATCAGTGGCCTGGAGATGTCCCAGTGACGGTCTGGGACAGACAGATGGGCGGGAGGCCCAAAAGTGAAGGAGGTTCTCAGCCGTAACCCGATGCTGGTGCGTGCAGTAGGGTTGGGAGCTTGTGGTGGTGGGTCCATGTGATATTTTATTTCTCTCGAAAGAACACTTCAGGGACAGGTGATAACTGTCCTGAGTATGGTACTGTAGTGCTTATTGGACTCACAGAAATATAAAATTTCACCTTAATTGCATATCTTCAAAGTGAAATTACAAATCATTAGTTAAAAATTTTTTAATGTTTACTTACTTTTGAGAGAGAGTGCAAGCCAGGGAGAGGCAGAGAGTGAGGGAGACACAGAATCTGAAGCAGGCTCCAGGCTCTGAGCTGTCCGCACTCACCAGCTGTGAGATCATGACCCTCTGAGCCAAAGCCGGATGCTTAACAGACTGAGCCACCCAGGTGCCCCACAAATCATTATTTTTAATTTTTTAATTTTATTTTCTTTCACTGTTTATTTTGAGAGAGAGCAGGAGAGGGGCAGAGAGAGGGGGAGAGAGAGAATCCCAAGCAGGCTCGTGCTGCCAGCGAGGGGCTCAGATTCCCGAACTGTGAGATCATGACCTGAGCTGAGATCAAGAGTCAAACGTTTAACCCACTGAGCCACCCACGTGCCCCAGATCGTTGTTTAAATAAAAGAGATACGTGGATGGAGCAAAACACACCTTTTAGACAGTCGGGAAAGATATGAAATGGAAAGTAACTATCCCTCCAGTGAAGGCCAGGCCCCATCTCTCTCCCATCTGTAACTGTCTCCTCCTCTGCCTGGCTGCCTCAGGTCTGTGCAGAGCAGGAAGACTAGGGCCCAAGGTCTGTGTGCCTGACCATACTCTACCCCATCACCTCTAGCCCTGGCATCGATGTCACCACGGAGCTGGACAGCTGGATTGACAAGTTTTGCCTGGACGCCGATGTGTTTGTGCTGGTGGCCAACTCGGAGTCCACCCTGATGCAGACGGTAGCCCCCGCACCTTTCCCCACACCCCTAGAGCCCAGCGGAGCCGGGGGGGGAGGGGGTGGTGGCTGACGACCTTGGCCAGCACCACCCCTCCTGTACTGAGGTCTTTTTCCCCGGCAGGAGAAGCAGTTCTTCCACAAGGTGAGCGAGCGCCTGTCCCGCCCGAACATCTTCATCCTGAACAACCGCTGGGACGCATCGGCCTCGGAGCCCGAGTACATGGAAGAGGTGGGTAGCTCTGGAGTCGTCGCTCTGGGGCTGTGTCCACTGGGCCCTCTTCGTGGGCTCTCCAGCCACACCGGGCCGGTGACTGACTTCTTCGCCAGAGATTTCCCAGGTGTTCTTGGGGTCACTGTGGTGTCTCCTGAGGGCTTTGAGAACACCCCCTTCGCTTCTCCCGCTCACTTCCCCTGCTCCCCCTACTCTTCAAAATGCTGTCATCCAGGCCTGAAGAGTGTCCCCACCACGTCAGCCGCACCTTTGTGTGGGCCCAGTGCTCACTTCAGCTCGTACAGTTACTCGTTATAGAGCAGACTCAGCTTTCAGATGTCCAGGAAAGAAACTTCAAGGAGGAGCAAAGGATAATTAATTCTTACTGACAGCCCCTCTGATTCTTTGTTTGCGTGAAAGGAAAGGAAAAGGAGTAACAGGCTGGTAACACGGGATGGTGAGGTGCGCGGTTGGCAGGCTGATGCTGGCCAGCGTGGCGGGCAAGCTCCTCGCCTGGGAGATGGATGTAACCGTTCTTGGAGGGAAGAAATCTGCTGACTCTGAGGAAAGCTCCTGCCAGTAGAAGCCGAGGCTTTCAGAGCTAGAAGGGATTTTCTGGTGGTGTCCACTGATTTTATAAACGAGGCCTGGAGAGTGGGGGGGCGGGTGGCGCTTAGCCTGGCAGGGCGGAGCCTGGGTTTAGGTTGCTTGGCCCCCAGGTTCCTTTCCTTCCGGGGCGTCACAGTGAGACGCTGTGTCGGCTTTATTTTGGCTTGTATGTGCATAAAATACTTGTGGCAGCCTGTGCTCCCAGACACCCCCCTGACGTCGGTTCTGGGGAACTTGGTGGCTAGAGAACAGCGGTGGTGGAAGATGATCCTCATGTGTGGAAGGTGTGTGTGTACCTGTGGAGTACTGAGCCCTGTGACTACATCGCCTGGTTTTTAGAAGAGAGGCAGCTTGGGGCTGTGGCCTCCATCGGGAGGGGGCCACTGGCACCCACCGGGTCACACCCACCCGTCTGTCTGTACTTCAGGTGCGGCGGCAGCACATGGAACGCTGTACCAGCTTCCTGGTGGATGAGCTGGGCGTGGTGGACCGAGGCCAGGCCGGAGACCGCATCTTTTTTGTGTCTGCCAAGGAGGTGCTTAACGCCAGGATCCAGAAGGCCCAGGGCATGCCTGAAGGAGGTGACGATGGGACAGACTCCCTTCTTCCTGAGGGTTGAGACCTCTGGCTTGTGCTAAGTCAGCCCGTAGAAAATAGTTCTGACAGTGAGGTGGTGAGAAGAGCCTTGAGTGAGCAGCTCTTTGCTTCTCAGCCAGTGTTTGAGGATTGGCTTTGGAGGATTTTACCATTTCCTTCTGGCTAACATGGTGTAATTCTCCTAGGGGGCGCTCTTGCAGAAGGCTTTCAAGTGAGGATGTTTGAGTTTCAAAATTTTGAAAGGAGATTTGAGGTAAGCGCTTTGATTCCAGTGTCTGATTGTTCTGTGTCTCCTCGGCACCCACCGGCCACGTCCCTGGCAGTGAACGCCAGAACCTGGCCCCGAGCTGGTGGACCCTGGTGGCCTCCGCCCCCCTCAGCACCTCCTGTCTTTCCAGGAGTGCATCTCCCAGTCTGCGGTGAAGACCAAGTTCGAGCAGCACACAGTCCGGGCCAAGCAGATTGCAGAAGCGGTGCGTCTCATCATGGACTCCCTGCACGTCGCGGCACAGGAGCAGCGGTAAGAGCCCCACACTGCGCACCCGCAGCGGGCGGCGCTGGGAAGCGGTCAGGGACCCTGGGACTTGCCGGCAGAGCTGAGTCTCTGGGTCGCCACCAGGACTAGTCAGACCCCCAGGGAGCAGCCTGGCGAGGATGGCTGCTGGGCGGGTATCTGGTCGTCCCGCGCGGTCTGGGTGGTGGTTCCTGAAAGTGTGGCCCCGCAAGCCCGTGTTGGAGGCCTCGGCCGGAGCCACACTGAGCATGGCAGCGTTTCCCAGGGCTTGAGGTGGGGCGCGTGGATTTGGCTCTTTAAAGATTTTATTTTATTCTCAGTAATCTCTACACCCACCATGGGGCTTGAGCTCAGTCTCCAAGAACAAGGGCGCATGCTCCACTGACAGCCAGCCAGGCCACTTATTTTATTTTATATTTTATTTTACTTTATTTTTTTTTGTTAAATAGTTTATAAAAATCTGGAACGCTTCACGATTTGCGTGTCATCCTTGCACAGGGGCCATGCTAATCTTCTTTGTATCATTCCAATTTTAGGTGCTTCTGAAGTGAGCACAAGGCCACATGTTTTAAAAATGATTTTTGTTTAAAATAGAATTTAAAATATGGGAAAATACAGAGAATAATGTAAAAATAAATTGCTTTCTTTAGTGTTCGCTCTATATTATCCTAAAGTTGAAATGAAAGAAAAACACCACATCAAATACCCTTTGATTCTTCAGCCCCTGCCCCACTGTCCCCCCGCCCACTCCTCAGGGACAGTCACAGCCATGAATCTGGTGTGCAGCCCCGTCATCTGTTTAGAAAGTGCTTATAATCATATAATCCTGAAGAACACGTGGTGTCGTGTGTATGTGCCTCACGCACGTGAACGTGGAATTGTGCTGAACGAGTTAGTGCACCCTGTGTTCCCTTCTACTTGGCATTGGTTTTGCCCTCGTCCCTTTTTGGTAACACAGAGCTGGTGTTTCTGTTAACTGCTGTACAGCATCCTATTGGGGATGTACCTCATTTTCCCATGGGTTGATTTTTATTGCTTATTTTTTGATATATATTTATTTTGAGAGAGCACGCACGCATACCTGTGTGAGCGGCAGAGGGGCAGAGGGGGAGAGAGAGAGAATCCCAAGCAGGCTCTGCGCTGCTCAGAGCCCTGACATGGGGCTCGATCTCACGATTCTGGAATCTTGGCCTGAGCTGAAACCAAGAGTTGGATGCTTAACCGACCGAGCTACTCAGATGTCCCAACCCATGGATTAATTTTTAGATTTCATCATTTTCTATTGCAAACCCTACTGTGGGGGGCACCAGCCCACATGTCCCCTGGTGCATGTTGTAAGAGCATGTCTAGGAGATTAACTCCTGACCGTTTCGTCTTAGGGTATGTGTGCGTTTTCAGTTTTACTCTGTTTTCCTCTGAAGCATCTGAATGTGCTCCCAGTTCCCCCAGCAGTGTGGCTGGGATTCTGCTTTCCCTGGGCCTCCCTGGCCCTTCAGACTTGGTGATTTTTGCCAGATTCCTGCCTGCATAGAGTAGTACCTCTTTTTAATTTCATTTTCTGATGACTTGTGAGGCTGAGCGTTTTCTTCCGAGTTAAGGAACAGAATGTGTTCTACCCACACCCCGCCCCCACAGCACCCTCCTGCCCCACCACCTCCTCTTCTAAGCTGGAAGCCCTAAGGGCACAAGGCTGGGGCCTAGGAACGGGGAGAGCGTGCTTCTGGGCACCACCTGACACTGCTGGGCCCCCAGCTGGGGCACACACAGGCTTCCTGGCTCCTTGGTTGGGTGGGGACCCACTCCTGAACCCAGCGTGCTTTCTCCCAGGGTCTACTGCCTGGAGATGAGGGAAGAGCGGCAAGAGCGGCTGAGGTTTATTGACAAGCAGCTGGAGCTCCTGGCGCAGGACTACAAGCTGCGGATTAAACAGATCACGGAGGAGGTGGAGAGGCAGGTAAGGCTCGTGGAGGAAGTGCTTCGGGAGATCTGGACCCCCCAGGAGCGTGCAGGGTTCTGGGAAGGTGAAAGAGCACACGTCCTCATCCTGGGGGCTCCTCAGCCTTCCAGAAGGAAGTTGTGGCCCTGACTGGAGCTGGCGCACGGCCTCCCCTGGGCTCCCTGGTTCCTTGTGTGACTCTGGGCAAATCCCTCTGCTCCCGGTCTCCCCTCCACATCTCACAGCAGCATTTGCTTGCCAGTCTAACGTCCCTCCTCCCTCAAAAGCTTTCCTGCTGCAGGTGAGCAGAGAAGCCCGCTGGCTTGCGGGGAGGCTCATGCGGCCTGTGAGGATTATGAGTTAGGCTCTCCTGGTGCTGCAGCAGGGAACCAGGTCCCCCTTGCCTTCCGCACTCAGCAGTACGCGTCCCTCTCCCGCAGGTGTCCACGGCCATGGCAGAGGAGATCAGGCGCCTCTCCGTGCTGGTGGACGAGTACCAGATGGATTTCCACCCTTCCCCAGTGGTCCTCAAGGTCTACAAGAATGTGAGTCGTTAAGCAGCAGGTGTTCTGCACAGGGACCCACTTTGATCCCTTTTGGCTGCTGGGTGGAATCAGGCTCTGCTGTCTGCGTCAGGGTCCCTGAGCCAGGGAGATAGGACCCAGGCTCTGCTCTGTGTTCCGCAGTCACCTGCCGGGTGCGGGCTGACCGGCCTCAGGCTTCCTTGTCCCTTGGCTCCCCAGAATGAACTGGTGACGGGGGCGCTGCCTTTCTGAACCTCTGCCTCCCGGTTGCAGGAATTGCACCGCCATATAGAGGAAGGACTGGGCCGGAATATGTCTGACCGCTGCTCCACGGCCATCACCAGCTCCCTGCAGACCATGCAGCAGGACATGATAGGTCAGTGGGGACTTGGGACTGGGGCGTTGGGCTGCCCACAGGTCCGCTTTGGGGGCCAGTCCACAGAAATCACGGCCTTTCCTTGTCTGTCACTCTCGACAAGTCCGTTCCGTGTCCTCAGATCCTTGGGGTATGTTGAGCATCCACTCCACACACAGACTCAGGGAGCCACCTTGGGTTACCCGAAGCATAAACGTCAGCAGGCTCGGTCCACACGCCCCTGGGGCGAGCTGGCCTGCCTCTCAGGGAGGGGCCCTTGCAATGCCACAGGCCACTCCTGCAGAGCCACCCATGTCCTCCATGGAGGCGGACACTGCCTCCATCCAAGGCTGGGCCCCGTGGTGGCACAGGGCTGAGCCAATGCGCTCTCCCCTCGTTTGTGTCCCTGACAGATGGTTTGAAACCCCTGCTTCCTGCGTCCGTGCGGAGTCAGGTAGACATGCTGGTGCCTCGGCAGTGCTTCTCCCTCAGCTACGATCTCAACTGTGACAAGCTGTGCGCGGACTTCCAGGAGGACATCGAGTTCCATTTTTCTCTTGGGTGGACCATGCTGGTGAATAGGTTCCTGGGCCCCAAGAATGGCCGCCGGGCCCTGATGGGCTACAGTGAGCAGGCAAGCAGCGTCCCTCATGCTGAAACCGTTTTCAGGGTGGGGACCCTGTGGTGCCAGCCTCGGCACGTGTGCTGCCACAGACCCCACCACGGTCCGGGTTTTGGCCACAAATCCATCTTGCCTTATCCTAGGTACCAATATTCGTGGAATTAGAACGTTAGCTGAATTTTTTTCTAACGTGTATCATATTATGCGTGTGACGATCAAATACAGATGATATAGTTTGTCCACATACCATCATTTTAACATTTAGATCTTTTAAAAATTTTATTTCTTTATTTTTATTTTGAGAGAGAGTGAGCGAATGTGTGTAAGTGGCAGGAGGGGCAGAGAGAGAGGGAGACATAGGATCTACAGCAGGCTCCAGGCTCTGAGCTGCCATCCTGACGCAGGGCTCGAACCCATGAACCGTGAGATCATGACCTGAGCTTAAGTCGGCCACTTAACTGACTGAGCCACCCAGGCACCCTTAAAATTTAGAATTTTAGGGGCGCCTGGGTGGCTCAGTCGGCTAAGGGTCCAGCTTTGGCTCAGGTCACGATCTCACGGTGTATGGGTTCGAGCCCTGCGTCGGCCTCTGTGCTGACAGCTCAGAGCCTGGAGCCTGTTTCGGATTCTGTGTCTCCCTCTCTCTCTGACCCTCCCCTGTTCACGCTGTGTCTCTCAGAAATAAATAAAAAAATTTTTAAAAATTTAGATTTTTAAACCACTCATGTCTGGACCACTCGAATTAACGTGTGGTTAATTCCCCCACTTTGGGGGAATTGTACGGAGGCATTTGGGGCCGGCCGCTGCTAGCATTCCGAGGGTCCCCACGGGGCTCACCTCGGGGCTGGCAGGCCTGTTACAGAGCTCCGGTCCTTCCTTGCCGTTCACAAAGCTTAATTTTCTTTTTGCCTTTTTGCAAACTGAAGAACTGCTCTGTGTCCCTGATCCGGGACTCCTGGTCCTGAGGTCACTGAGGGTTCTGTTGAGCAAGGGACCTGCCACATTCTTCTTACCCAGCCTGTCATGTCTCTTCAGGTGCAGCGCCCCATGCCCCTGACGCCAGCCAACCCCAGCATGCCGCCGCTGCCGCAGGGCTCGCTCACCCAGGAAGAGCTCATGGTGTCCATGGTCACCGGCCTGGCGTCCCTGACGTCCCGGACCTCCATGGGCATTCTCGTTGTTGGAGGCGTGGTCAGTACGCAGCCCTGCCCGGGAAGGAGGGCAGGGGGGTCGGGGCTGAGGGGCGCAGAGCCGGTGGGGGTCCCCGCATGGGCACAAGCAGCGTTTTCACGCCCACTGGCGACTCCTCACGGTGGTCTTGGAGCTGTGTAGCCTCAGCTGACTTGGCGTTTGGATGGCACCGCTCCCGTGTGACAGAGGAGGAAAGTCTGGTTGGCTCGCCAAAGAGAGTTAGGATCGGAACTCTGACCCAAAGGCCATGTTTGTCCCCAGCGGGGCCTGTACTGCATGATGGGCAGGGAAGGGACCCGAGAAGCTGACAAAGCCCAGTCCAGACAGGTGGGCGTGGCCAGGAGGTGAGGAAACCCAGAGCAAGACTGGCAAGGGTTTAAGACAGAGAGGCCAGGCCGGGCCTTGAACCCCGTCTGTGTCCTGGTTTTCTTGCCGTGTCCTCTCCACCCCAGAGCCTGAGACCGCAGGCTGCCTTCTTTGTAACCGGGCTACTCGCCACATCCTGAGCCGCGACGCGCTGCGGCCAGCATATTTACACCCGGAGTTTTCCTGGGAATGTGGCCTCGCTCCCTCTGCCATGGTCGTTTGATATGGCGGGGACAGAGGTGCTGGGGGCTGTGCTCTCAGCTCGGAAGGCTAGGGTGGCCGCCGCTGAGGCCCCCTGCGCTCCGTCTCCGCAGACGTGCGTGCCGGGTGGCTTTTTTCAGATGATGACCTGGCAGAGGGTCGTTAGCTGACGTGCTGGTACTTGATGGTCCTGGGACCCTTTCAAATAGTGCGTTTCACCCAGGCAGCCCTGTGACTTGGGTGGAGACCGTCACGCCTGTCTCTGTTGGGAGGAACCGGGGTAAAGAAACTTGCCCGGGTTTCAACCCGGAAGGCAGGCAGCACTGAAACCTAATGTCTGGCTCCGCGTCCAGTGCTCCTGGTAACCACAGCGCCGTGAGCTAAAGTATCATACACACCAGAGCAACAGAAGCCGCTCTCTGAAGAACGACGTGTGGAATTCTACTGTCGGTGTCCTCAGACTGGAGGGTCTCTTTAGAGCACGCCCGCTTTTGTCCTTAGGGATTCTGCATGTCTGGGTCTGTGCTCTGGTCCTGACACCCCTCCCCTCCCCCCTACCTCCCCTCCCCCCTACCTCCCCTCCCCTCCCCCCTACCTCCCCTGCCCCTACCTCCTCAACCCTCCCCCCTACCTCCCCTCCCCTCCCCCCTACCTCCCCT